TTCTTTCTTTCTTTCTTCTTCTTTCTTTCTTTCTTTCTTTCTTTTTCTTTCTTTCTTTCTTCCCTCCTCCCCCCCCCCCCCTCTGAAAGCCTGAGAACTCTCAACATGCTCTCCGGATTTTCAAATCAAATCAAATCGAGAGCGGCGGTGGAACGGAACCGTCGGTGTAGACGCATTCAATTTCATAGGCTTGGACGATGGCGAGGGGTGCAACTACCGTCTTCTCCCGATTACAGCATCCCATCATTTATATCCGTATTTGGACTGTATGTTGGAAAGCCCCAATCACAGCAATAATGACTGTATGTTGTATTCAGCGGAATGGGTCCAGACTCCATAGCCTATAATGCTAGAAAATTTAACATCAATTTCGTTCGTTCTTTTTTTTTTTTTTTTTTCCCTTTTTTTTTTAAACGGGTGATGGCCTGACCGCCCCAGGTAATTCAGAATTATTCTATTTTACAGTTTTTAGTACCTTTTTACTCATCTCAGTCATCCTCCAATTTGGAAAACTTTAATTTCCTTTCTTTTTCTTTTTCTTCTTTTTCCTTTTTCTTTTTTTTTTGCGCACAAAACACTCATGCATGCCCCATCTACTAAAGATCAATTTCTTACAGGTTTACGACTTCCAGAGTCCTCCGCCTGCCTGTGATGACATGATTTACTCCTTTTTTTTTGTAAAAAAAAGAACTTCCCTAGAGTCCTCAGCCTGCAAAAATCTTCCCTAGAGTCCTCAGCCTGCAAAACAATTTCCCTAGAGTCCTCAGCCTGCAAAAACATTTCCCTGGAGTCCTCAGTCTGCAAATAACTTCCCAAGAGTCCTCAGCCTGCAAATAACTTCCTTAGAGTCCTCAGCCTGCAACTTTTTAAGTGACCTGCTCCCCACCAATAGCCTGCAGCCCCCCTTCCAAGAAGACGAGAAAAAAAAAAAAAAAAAAAAAGGAATGCAGCCCCCCTAGATGCTGGGTACTATTGGGATATGCTCGCATCAACCCAAACAGTATAACCCCCTCCCCCGCCCCCAGAGGGTTAAAAAAAAAAAAAAGGGGTCCTGAAAGGCTCATTCAAGAACTGGACCAGGGGGGTTGTAATGCCTAAAATTTAATATCATTTTTTTCTTACAAGCCTGCAACTTCCAGCAGGCAGTCTTCAGCCTGCATCTGCCAGAGTCCTCAGCCTGCAACTTGCAGCAGGCAGTCTTCAGCCTGCAACTAGCCTGCAACTGCCAGAGTCCTCAGCCTGCAACTGCCAGAGTCTCCAGCCTGCATATCCCAGAGCTGTCAATGAGTCTTCATCCTCCATGCTGTTGGCGGCTTCGACTTCCGAGAGTAGGCCTGCGGTTGGGACAGACGGAAGTGTCTCATCTCGTCTCCTCTCCTCGGGTTCGTTTGTCTTTTCCCAACCCGTTTTCACGAGCTGACCCCTTCAAGAGTGCTCCCTTTTACGGAGAAGGGGCCCGGGGCCGAACTCGTGAAATTCCTACGGCCTGGCTCCACTACTCACCAAAAATGACAAGGAATGAATCTTCCACAAAAACAAGGAAAGATACATTTTTGCAAATTTTTGGGCTTTTCTGCACCTGGAGAGTGGTGGGGCGGCGAGGCCCCGACTCTCGGAAATTGAAGAGGGCTGTGTGGCAAAGGGCGGCGAAATTCACAAAAATTCCGACTCTCAAAAATTCACGACGACCGTGTGGCGAAATTCAAAAAAATTTCAAAAAATTTCGACGCTCGGCAAAAAAGTCTGACAAGTCTCGAAAGGTGTTTTTTTTTTTTTTTTTTTTTTTTTTTTTTTTTTGACTGAGAGTGGCACACCGAGCCCCATACTCGCAGCAACAAATCCTTTGAGACCCCGTTTCAGGTGATGAATGTGAGAGTGAACATGTGGTCAGATACATGGAGGTGTGAGTAGTAGTATTTCCAAACTGGTCAAAATAAACGTGTCAACTTGTCGCTGAATATACACATCTGGGGGCGAGGTCCCAATAGCACAGAGGATTATTCGGGATTGAATGCCTGAATCTGGACGTGTTTTGTTTGAAAGGTTCAGAAAATCGAGATCGACCTGCTTGTCTGCATCATCTCTGGACGAAACACGTCCAGATTCCAATGCTTTAATCCAATCCCTTTTCCCTGGTGGGAACCTTGCGACAGATGTGAGTTTTTTTCCTTTTCTTTTTTTTTAGATTTTTTTAAAAGTCCTTTTTTTCCCTACCGAACACTCACCAAAATTCACTATCTACTCCTCAGAAGAAGAATACTTTGTAGGTTGCTTTCAGTGGATCCGAACCGAGGAGGACCTGAGGGGGACGTAATTTGGCTATAAGGGCAGGGACAGGGACGTAATTTGGTTATAAGGGCAGGGACAGGATTTTGGGTCCGGGTCCAACCGGAGTCAGATAGCAGCAGCTACAGCCCGATGGTTTTTTTTTTTTCTTTTTTTTCTTTTTTTGAGCTTGATGGCTTTTCAGAATTTATAGGAACACATCCCTCAGCGAGAACATACCGGGTCAGGACCTTATGGTATTAAAAAAATAGCCTACCTGCATAAAGGCTGCCCGGTAGAGCCTATTTGTCTTTTTTTTTGGTAAGGCAGCTCTTTTTCCCTTTTACTTGCAGTTCTGTCTCTCCACTCTCACAAACTCCACTCAGCGTGACTTTCCCAGCCCTCCTTTTTTTTGGGGGGGGGGGGGGGGGGGGGGAGAAAGAATCAGATACTAAACTGATCTGGGCCGAGGTCCCACTAGCAAAAAGGATAGGATCGAGCGCCTGAATCTGGATGTGTTTTATGCAGAGATGCAGAAAATCAGTCCAATCTCGATTTCCTGCACATCTCCATAACCTCGTCCAGATTCGGGCATTCAATCCGATCCTCTTTGCTATTGCTAGTGGGACCACGCCCCAGAACACATACTACACTTGATCTTCAGATTCTTCACTACCCTTTCCCAGCATATATTGAATTCTATTAAAAAAAAAAAAAGACAAAAGGCCGAGAAAGGTCGGCCCACTTTTGCAGGCTCGTAAACCAAATGAAACTGGAATTCTTTGGTAATGAGCAATGAAAGTTCATATTCCTTTTCACTTCTTTTTGTTTTTTTTTTACTTTTTTTTTTCCTTTTTTTTTCTTTTCTTTTCCGGAAAAAAACTTTAAAAAAGGCAAAAAAAAACTAGAAATGGGAGGGAATGGGTTTCTGAACAAGGACCTGCCTGAAAGTTGGATCGCTTTTCGTAGCTCCTTCTCTGTCGCATTTCGCACAGCCATCTCTGCCCGCAGAGCGGCAAGGCGCTCCCTCACTTGCGCCTGCAAACAACACATCGGAGACGAATTAAGTTAACTTCAATTAAGTAATGCATTTATTTACATTTATAATATGTAATTAAGATTTTAAAAATGGGATAGTTTGCAAAATACCCCCATAAGAAGTTGAGATATATGCCAAAATGCCCCTCAAAAACGATGTGGGCAGAGCGGAATGCCCTTTCGGGCCAAAATCTTTGCGTTATGCCCCTGTCAGACAGGTGTGCAAATTTGCAATCTGGACCTCGCCGTTTGGGCCTTGGTCTTTTGCGGGGGTATTTTGAAAAGTTGGATGGTACCCAGTAGGGGTATATCACAAAGATGGGGGGGGTCCAACCGGCACGAGGGGTATTTATTTCACAAATTTTTCTTTTTTGTCAGAGGGGCGTTCCTCTCTACCCACATCTTTCAGGGGCATTTCGGTACATATCTCAACTTACGGGGGTATTTTGCAAATTGTCCCTTAAAAAATTAAAGCTAGATGATCAGAAACCCAAGCCGGTGCCAACTGGCCTGCCTAGCTCAGTTGGTACGCCCACCACCTGTTGAAATACAGACCCAAGTTCAAACCCAGATAAAATCACATGACCAGAATAAAATAATTGGTACACCCACCAACTGTTGAAATCAGAAACCCAATCCGGTGCCAACTGGCCTGCCTAGCCAGGGCCAGCTCTTCACATATTTATTTATTTATTTATTTAACTGCAAAACACATAACTGCGATAGCATGGCATGCATATGTGAAGAAACCTAAAAAACAGTTGAAACTCCAGAAGATACAGCATGAAAGCTGAGCAACCAGCAATAGCCTCTTGGAGCTCGAAGGCTACATCGCCCGTCTCCCTGTCGCCGCAGACCGTCTTTGGCGCAAGTGATTTTGGCTGTATCTGGCCAGAAATATAGCTTGTATACATTCATTTTAAGGGTGCATTATGTTCGGGGGAAGACAGTAGTTGGGGAGATGCCGGAGTGGCATTTCCATCTACGGCATCTCCACTCCGGCATCTCCCCAACATAACGTACCCTTGAAATGAATGTATACAAGCTATATTTACGGCCAGATACAGCCAAAATAAGGTTGGGGGAAGACCGTAGTTCCAGCCACTGCCATTTGTGGCCTCCTTGGGGAGGTTGAGATGTGGCTGATGTCCTATGCTAAATTCATAAATTATCCTATTTAGACCTAGGCTACCATCCGGGCCGCCCGGGTCCCGGGTGGCCAGCCCGTGCAAGGACCAGGGAAGGTCCCAGCAAAAACAAACAAACAAAAAAAAAAGCAATCCAAAAAATCCGAAAACAAAAACTACGTTATGCAGAAAAATAAACTGAACAACTTTGGGCCTCGTTAGACACTCCTTGTGGACCCGAAATCCACAAGGAAACGATTGTTCCACCTGTCCTTGGGGACGATTCTCGAAAAAAAAAAGTGAAAACACCACAAGGAAATTTCCTTGCGGCGTCCTTGTGGCTAGAGCCATTTTTTCCTAACCCCCAAGGGACCTCCCGAGGTCCCTCGGAGCACAAGGAAGCGCGAAATTCGGAGCGGCGAAGGCATGCGTCGGCGCACAATTTCTGTTCAAGAGTGGTCCAGACGTGGTCCAGCGAACGGGAGCACTGACATCCCTGCCTCCAAAATCTGCACGGCGCCCCAACGGCTCCAAACGGTCACCGCCCGCGTGAGGCCTCCATCCGTCTACGCGATTTGCTGGCTGGCGTCCTGCGGTCTGGTGCGGCGGGCGATCGTCGACAACAGTCCAAAATTCGAATGCTTTTCCCAGCCAGCGCTGCTTTCGACGACGACAGTTTCATTGCAGAAGATCGTCGTTTTCTTCATTTGTCGTCACGCCTCGCACGTTGGAGCACAGATCTTCCACCGATCTTTCTTGTGTCAACGGGCTTGTTCGTTGGACGGTCGACCGCTGATGTCGGTTTGTTGCCCTTTCAACGGCCCTTACATGGCCAACCTGCTGCACAGGCTGCCTCTGCTGCTCCTCGTCGTCGTGCTGATTCTCGTCGTTGCCTTCTTCCACGTGTGTTTCGTCGGCCTCGTCCCGATCGCGGCTCGCAGAAGGAGATCTTCCAAGAAAACCGACAGGATAGATCGACTGGCCAACGGCAGACCGGCAGCCACAACCTCCAGAGCGAGCAATCGGCAACGCAGTGCGGGGTCTTCCCACGACTGTCGCGTCGTCGCATTGCCTGAGGTCTTCCCACGTGCCTCCTGTCCTGCGCTTCACCCACCACCGCGGCGTCGCACGAGGAATCACTCCGCAACCCAACGCATAGCACAGCTGAACAACAGCCTCCAACGTCACCACATATTCGTCCCCATTGTCCGGACCTTGCGTCAATGTCCTCCGTCTACGCGCGCGCAACTACTCCTTCAGTCGCCCCAGCGCCCTCTCCTGCTGACATCGAAGAAGATCTTGGAAACGGCCGCCACCACGGCCTGCAGCTCACGAGGCGTCAACACATCAACGTCTACCCTCTCCGCCGCCCTCCATGGCCGCGACGTGGACACGGACCCGTCGCTCCGCTGCCGTCTGTGTCGTCCATCTGCACCCGACGAAGAAGCCGAAGACGTCAGTCGAAAGGTGGCCCCTTTTCTCTGCTTACAGTCCCGCACACAGAAACGAGGAGCAAGGCATAGTCGACGTGCGCAAAGGTCCACGGCGATGGACGCACCACACGTTGCCCGCGCACTCGCAACGGCCTCCCGACGGAACCTCTGCCGCCAGTGAGCCCCTTTCCGCAGCACGCCATCCTCGCGCCGCCAGCCACACGTCGTCGTCGTTGCAGCAGTCATTCGAATTTCGAATTTGAAATGCCCACACCCGTGGGGTTAAATTTCTTTTCGCGTCGCCCGCCGTATGCCGTTTCCCGCCTCGTGTCGCTGGACCACGCCGCCTCCACACGGACAAAAGACGCTGGACCAAGGACGACCGACCCCGCGGCCGCTAATTTACGTATGAAAACGGCCACGGGTAAGCCACAAGGAAACATCCTCGGGGGAGGTCCCCAAGGATGAGTGGAACGACGCCGCAAATTCCCCTAAAAAACAACAAGGAGATTTGCTTGTGGCTCAAGGAACTCGTAAGGAGTGTCTAACGAGGCCTTTTTGCCTCAGGGTCACCTCAAAATTCTTCACCAAATTTAGATTTTTTTTATTTTTTTTTTTTTTTTTGGCCCGGCCGGGCAAGTGACCCCGGGCCACTCTGCTAGCCTAGATTTAGACACAACAATCACTTGCGCATGGTCCGCTCCTGGTCCTGAACCTGCACCTCGGCGGCGCCTGATAGCGAGCGCTCCGTTCCGAGGTCCCAGACTTCCGCTACTCGTCCCGTGGTCGGACTTCCGCCTTTAGTCAGGTCCAGGTTCCAGCCATGAATCCCTGTGTTTTGGCTGTGCCCCTGGTCCGGGTGCTAGGTCCCACTTGCACGAATTAAGAAACAATGACCGTAGATAGCAAAGGCCGAAATCTCCTGATTTGCGCAAATGGGACCTTGCCCCGGGAGAAGGGTCCTTCTCTGCACCCGATGGCGTACAACCCCCGTGATTTGGATGCGCCTCTGGTCCAGGAGAAGGGTCCCTCTCCGCACCCGATGGCGTTTCGACCCCCGTCCCCTGACTTACACTACTGGTCCAATATCCGAGTCCTGCCCTGGTCCTTGTTCCCGCCATGATTCAACGACGTGTGTTTTTTACTCAAACCGTTCACATGGTCTCGTTGTATGTCCAGGTCCCTGTCCATCCAGAACCTACCTTCTTCCCCCGAATACAACGTACGCCGGTCATTACAGCTGTATTTAGACTGAAAGATGTGCGCCCCAAATTCAGCTACGATGACCGGGCGTACGTTGTACCCGGGGGAAGACTGTAGAGTAGGATCAAGCATTTCGGCCCCAGTCCCCTGACTTACAGTACTGGTCCAACATTCCAGTCCTGCTCCTGGCCTGGTCCTACCTTCTTCCCCCGAATACAACGCACGGTCATTATAGCTGTATTTGAGGCATCTTGCAGTCTAGATACAGCTATAATGACCGTGCGTTGTATTCGGGGGAAGAAGGTAGTTCCCACCATCATGATTCAACGCGGGGTTTTACCCAAACAGCTCCCGCGGTCCCAGTGAGATAAAGATACTCAATCCATCATGATTCAACGCGGGGTTTTACCCAAACAGCTCCCGCGGTCCCAGTGAGATAAAGATACTCAATGCATAACACAAGAAGTGTGAATCACCCATAAGAAAAGACAGGACGAAAGATGAGGGAAGAGAGGTAAGAAAGATGAAGTCCCCCGAGCGCATCAGCTCGAATAAGATTTAGCGATGAAGCACAAACAGAGTTGGCAAAGCCATAGTCATGAAGCATATGTGGCAATAAACCCGACAGCTGTTTCGGCCGGTTTGCCAGGGACCGGCTCTCGTCTCCAGCCCCGCGTTGGCTTGTTTGATGTGCATGCACAATGAGTACCTGTTCTTGCAAGGCTTGGGGAATGACGCGAATCTAGTCAAAGGTTGTAGACTGATTGATGACGTTTCTCTTTTTGTTTGGGTTCGTGTTGACGATAAGAATTCTTTTAGGAAAGCTGAGTCAATTTTTCGCATTTTTCAGAAGGATTGTTACGATAAGCATCTAGTATTGGAGAATACCAGTAGTTCTGATGAATGGCCTTATCTGGGATGTCGTCTTTTCATTGGGAAGCGGCCTGTACTGCCAGGCTCTGCATAAGAATCAGGAATGTCTGATGAAAGGCCAGGGTTTGGTCTTCCAGAACTTGCAGGATTTTAATTCTTTTTGTAGCAAGGAACAAAAATTTGCGGTTATATCTTCCTTTTTTCACAGAAGCATATGCTATGGGCACTTTGCCTGGAATTGAAGTAGGCTACTTGTTTAGCTTGAAGGTTGAATTACGGAATAGACAGTTTCCAGCCCTTTATTTTGATAGGGCACTCGTTCATTTTAATTCTCAGATAGGGGGTGCCTGGGCCCCCTGGGTCCGCTGCCTTACCGGTTGGATAAATTGGTAGGGTAGTGGTCCGGCCTTTGTTTTCTCTGACAAAGTGCCGGTTACTTCTCGAACAGTCTATAGGGGTTATAAATAGGATAGTCTTTCCTTCTTTTCGCACACCCATCTGTTTAACGATTTTCCCCATGGCCGTAGTGAATGTATTTCGTAGGTCATATGAAATGAAACGGATTAAAAGCGAAAAACTGACCGATTTGAATCCTACCTGGCTAATGGCTATTCTACTAAGTCTAACCCGTTTGCTACGAGCACAATACAGAAACTTGAAGAAGCCTATCTCTTCGAAAAGACTGATAGCCCATTCAACTGCAGAAATAATAGCGGAGTGAGGAAGTTGGCAAAACATCTCTTTAACGTCATAACTACGACCCATAATCTCCTCATCCATTCTGACTTCTTTATTTACCTTATTTAAAAAGGATGGTAACATATGCGTGCTACTAAGGTTGAAATGGGAATAATTCGGAATTCTTCTTATTAACTCATTGACGCAGGAAGAGGTAATACGGGCTGCTTTACGCGTAGGTTCTGACCACGAAGGACAGATGGGTCTCCATTTCTCGACATTTTTATGCTTGGGAAGTGCATAAGCTCTTCTATTGCATGTCTTTTTTTTTTTTTTTTTTTTTTTTTGTTTGGTCCCATTGTATGTCCGTCGGGTCCCCCGTCCAGAATCTATAAGGATCGATCATTTCGACCCCCGTCCCCTGACTCACACTACCCATCCAATATTCCAGCCCTGATCCTGGTCCTAGTTCCCACCATGATTCAATGTGTCTTCTAGTTCCCACCATGATTCAATGTGTGTCTTTTACCCAAACAGCTCCTGCGGTCCCGTTCTATATCCCGCTCGCCGCCCAGAACCTGTTCCTATTGTTTTTTTTTTTTTTTTTTTTTTTTTTTTTGGGATAATTTGCAAAATACACCCCCCCCCCGGGTCCCGTCCAACTTCGCAAAATGCCCCCCGTACTTGCCAACTTTTCCTAGGCGCTATTGCCGGTCCGGATTGCGAAGTTGTACACCCGCCTGAGGGTCTCACCCCACGGCACACGAAACGAAAACGAAACGAATGCATCTTCCCACGAAAGATGGCAAAATACACTCGTTACTATTTATAGCTAACCGATGAATCTGGCCATTTTCTGCAGGACGATGCACTCGTTTCGTTTTTCATTTCGTGTCCCGTGCGGCGACGCCCTGACAGGGGCACAACACAAAGATTTCGGCCCAAAAGAGCATTCCGCTCTACCCACATCTTTCAGGGGCATTTTGGCATTATAGCATCTCAACTTATGGGCCCTTTTTTTTTTTTTTTTCCCCTACTGGTTTCAAGTTGGGGGGTTATACCTGCTCCTCCACCTGCTCTGTGATGTCCAGGCACGCCGTCGTGACACCTTCTACCTCTCCGTTCCTGCCAAGAATCGGTTTTGCCGTCAACATCCAGGTGACCGGGTCTTGCCCGGGAAAGCGCAGGACCACCTGCTGCTTTTGAGGCTTTCCGGTTTCGAGAGCGCGCTTCTGCAACTCCACTGTCTCCTTCACTCCTTCCACATCAGCGGGGAAAATTTCATCATCGCGCTTTCCGATGATATCCTGCATGCACAATGCACAGAATAGCGACCAGATTCAGTCAATTCAACTTGAAAGGTGGGGGGGCGGGGGGGATTTCGTCATGATCCGGCTTTCCGGTGATATCCTGCATGAATGCATGCAAAATGCACAGAATCGCGACCAGGTTCAGTCAAGTGAATCAAAAGATGCAAAACATAGTACCTACGCATTTGGTGTACAAAAGTCGCCACCAGGTCACAATGGAGCAGAGCATATAATAAGGGGGGGATACTCACACTAGGCCCTCAAAATTATAGCAAAATCGCAAAATAAATTATAGCAAAATCGCAAAATAAATTATAGCAAAATCGCAAAATGAACGCCCAGATCGAGTGCTTGTAACCAGAGGGCTCTATCTGGCCGCTCATTTTGCCATTTTCAGATTTTGCGTATGCCCTGATACGATTAAATTATTAAAAAAAAACTAAACATCGCAAAACAGCGAGAAAAAATAAAAAATATGCCTCTTTTGGAGGCCAAGATGACTGCTTTATTTTTGGATGGGGTTAGGGTAGCTAGGGTGCCGGAGGAGGGAGGGAGGGAGGGAGGGAGGGAGGGATGGAGAGAGGGAGGGAGGGAGGGGGAGAAGCTGAGCGGGCGGATATAATTGTCCTTCGGCGTATATCAGGGGCGTGGTCCCACTCGCAAATTTAAGAGGATCAGATCGAATGCCTGAATCTGGACGTAATAGTGGAGAGATGCAGGAAATCGAGATTGAACTGCTTATCTGCACCTCTGCATAAAACACATCCAGATTCAGGAGCTCGATCCTATCCTTTTTGCTAGTGGGACCTCGGCCCGAGGTACATTCCAAGCAAACCCCCTCTGCCCAAGGGTGAACCGCAGAAATCAATAAAATATTAAATATTAAATGGTCCAAAAGGAGAAGAAAAAAACCTTGAAAGAGAAATTGGCTACATGGAAAAGTGGAAATTTAAAGGTTGCGAAGGAAGGGGAAGGAGTCTTGGCCAAAGTAGCCTGGGACACTATCGCATAACCGAAAAGAGATGGAGGGTTGGGCTTGGTGGACCCGAGACAGCAGAATCTGGCGCTGTTGGGGAGATGGCCCATTAAAGCCATGTTTGCGACGGAGGGGAAGATATGGGTCAAACTAACAGAGTATATCCTAGGGTCAGAATGGGAGTTGGACAGAATATAGTGAAACAGTATGGCGTTAATGGGCCATCTCCCCAACTACCATCCTTTGCGAACAGGCACCCGAAGTCGCAGGTTTGGAGGTCTATATTGATAGCTTGGCGGAAAATCAGACCAACAGGTCACTCTCCTCCTCGCTCAAACGGTGAGGTGCTGAACGAGCCTCTATTCGAGAACAGCAGAATACTTCAGCAAGATGGCACCCCCTTTTCGGTGGCCAATACAAAAGGTAGCTTTGGTGACTCCTGGATCAAGATGAGCCTCTATTCGAGAACAGCAGAATACTTCAGCAAGATGGCACCCCCTTTTCGGCGGCCAATACAAAAGGTAGCTTTGGTGACTCCTTGATCAAGAAAGGGATTTCAATGGTGAAAGATTTATGGGATGACCACTCCGCGGACTGGATCACGGAGGAGAGACTAAGAATGTTCCTTCCCAATCTTCCCAGGCTACATAACATCAGAGTTCACTTTGCAGCATTAAAAGCAGTGATCCCAGAGACATGGAAATCCCTGTTGACAGGAGAAGCGCTGCCGTACGTGGACTCCTGGGTCAGAGCGCCTACAGCGGAAGAAAAATATTGGAGGGTTCTTGGGCCAGATCTCCATCGAGGCACGAGGGTACAAGAATGGATACCAAGCATTCACACGGAGGGGGGACCAGTTATTGGACAGACCCTTAACTTTAGTGGGCGAGAGGGTGGAGGTCCTGAATGGAGATTTGGAAGAAGTACGGGTGTGGCTGACTAAAGATAGAAGAGGGGCAGAACAATGTAAGGGGGGGTTTTCGGCGACACGGTTCCAAATAGAGCCATTCGGTTACGGGTGGAAGTTGAGAGAGGACCGAACAGAGCTGGTACCTTTGGTGCAGTACTCGACAAAAGTGGGTAGGGAGATACAGCGGGCTAGAGTTTCGAAATCTCCGACAGTGGTTGCTTGTAGAAGATGGGATGACTTTTGCCCGAAGCTGATGGAACCGCGCGATCTGCAGTGTTTGTGGATCCAGCTGAAGGCGATGACGAATCAGAAGACGGCCTCCTTGCTTTGGATGCAATCCCTTCAGGTAGTGGCCTCGGCCACCTGGCTGACAACCAAGGGTCTGGGCATCAGCCGAACGTGTTCTCGATGTGAGTGGGCATGGGAAACGACGGTACATCTTTGGATTCATTGCCCGGTCTCAATAAGACTATGGCAGTGGTGGAGGCATAACTGGCGGGCAATTACAGCAGATGTCACACCACGAGCTGTGGAGTGGACAGATAAATGGATCCTGACTGGGATGGACCCGGGTCAGAAACAGTTTTCCAAAGGATGGGGGTATGTTGCTCAAGCCTGTAGGGGAGAACTAATGGGTGTTATTTGGCAGGCAAGGAATGCAGCGTTGTTCCAGGGTGACCATTGGTCCTTCTCTCAGACCCGGTCGGTAGTGAAGACCCGGATAAGGAGAGTCATCAGAGCAGACTGGCACTCGAAAAACAAAGTATGGTTTGTGAGCACCTGGGCATTGGCAAACCGCTTGACAACAGTTTCGGCGGATTCGAAATTAGAGGTGGGGTCATGGTTGTTGTCCTGACCCGATTAAAGGCAAGATACTGGGGATTGGAGGCCGAGTTTAGGCCTGGGATGGGATGTTGGATAAATGGTTAGAAGAGAAGGGTCGCGTTAGGCTGAGGACGGGATAGAGTACGGGAATTCATTAGGCCACCAGGGCACTGCAAGATGGTAGAGCGGGTAAGCGTTATATCTGGGCTGTCGTGGAAAAAAAAAATGAAAAAAAAAAGGAGGTTTTTTTGTACAGTGGAGGGGCTCCGCCTGGGGTGCCCTGGGGCGTGGTCCCACTAGCAAAGAGGATCGGATAGAAATCCTGAACCTGGCCATGTTGTATGCAGAGATACAGAAAAGCAGTTCGATCTCGATTTCCTGCTCGTGTCCTCGAACACGTCCAGATTCAGGCATTCAATCCGATGCTCTCTTGCTAATGGGACCACGGCCCTGCTGGAGGTCTTTCAGCCCTTGAATCTGCCATCGAACTCTAAATGGATATATTATTATATTGTGTTTGCCTTCGGCACTGGGCCCACTGGGCCCGTAATTAAGATGCTTCTTTCTTTTTTTTTTTTTTTTTGGGGGGGGGGGGGGGGGGAGGGAGGTTGTGTAAGTGGAGAACTAGATAAGCGGATAATTTCCCCCCTGCAAAAAAAAAAAAAGAAAAAGAAAGAAAGAAAGAAAGAAAGATAAGAGGATAACTGAATTGGATGAGTAGAATATGGGCCTGGTTCCACTACCATCCACATGCACAGAAGACAAACAAATATGGCAATGTATCTGTTCACGTTGTAGCAGAAGATTCAGTCTGATTTTGCACATTTGGAGAGTAGTCGATGGAGGCCCTATATCCGTTGAGGTGGGCAGAGGCTACTACAGACAGAGCACACAAACTTTTTTTTCTTTTCTTTTCTTTTCTTTTCGGGAAAAGGTAGAGAATCCATTATCAAAGGGCAAGACTTTGAGGCCGGGAATTCTCAACAAACAACGCGGTCGCACACGACTTTGAGGCCGGGAATTTTTTTATTTTTTATTTTTTTTATTATTTTTTTTTTGGTTGGCGGTCAAGGAATTGTTTTTTTTTTTTTTTTTTTCCCTCTCACTTTTTTTTTTTTTTTTTTTTTAAACAGCGGCAAAGTGCCCAAGGCAGCAGGCATACTAACAGCCTAGGCCGAGGTCCCCCTAGCAAACAGGATTGGATTGATCTCCTGAATCTGTACGTGTTTTGCAGTTCAATCTTGATTTTCTGCACGTCTCCACAAACACGTCCTGATGCAGGCAGTCAATCCAATCCTCTCTCTTCCCCAGTGGGACCTCGCCCCTAATTGCACCACTCGCCATGGGCCACAATTCGTAGCGTATGCCTGGCGGAAAAAAAAAATAAAAAAATCAACCCGGATTGCTGAAAAACACGTCGCCTCCAGCACCCTATCTTGGGTATCAGACTGGAAAGCAGGTCGGGTGTCCTCAGAAGAAGAGAGAGAAAAAAAAAAAAAAAAGGCTCGAAACCAGGCCCAGCATCCTTTCCAAAAAAAAAAAGAGTACTTCTAGCATCTCTGCATATGATGGGGGGGAAAAAAAAGGGAATCAGGTCCGGGCATCCCGTTTAAGATTCAATGACATAGCTTTCTGATAGCCTCATTAAGTGTTCTGCTGCTCAGTGCCCTTACGCGCTCAGAAGGGACCTCAGACCTTCTCAGCCTGATGGGCTGCCTGCTGAATCCATAATACCTAGTAGGTCTGTGAGAGGGTGGTGGTCCCACAAGAAGAGCTCTGAGTACCTGAGCTTTCTCTGTCATCGAAGTAGGCCCAAGAGTGTAGAGAGAGGCCCACTTGGATTGGAAGCGAATCTTGGGGAGATTCTGTCGAGCCTGTTTGCTTCTTGATTTTGACCCACTCCGACATGATGTCTACAGTCTTCACCCGAATACAATGTACCGTCATTATACCTGTATTTGGGACACCCTTGAGTCTAGATACAGCAGTAATAACAGTACGTTGTGTTCGGGTGAAGACGGTAGTCTGATAGCATGCTTGTATTCTGCGAAGAAAGAGCCCAGGGTAGTCACTGTGGCTTTCTGAGAAAAGATTCGGTCTCCGCTAGCTAGCCAGAGCACCCAAAAGGCTCTCACCCGAAATAACTGTGCTATTTTGAGAGACTGTTTGTCACAAGCCTGTTCTGTTCTACCCATGTCCTTGTCCTCTTAATACCAAGCAAAGTAAAAAAAAAAATAATAATAATAATAATAATAAAATAAAATAAAATCGAATAGTGCCCAGGGA